GCCCCGAGAATACAGTCTGGCTCCGTCTGTCTCTTCCTATCAGTCCGCTCGACTGATGCGACAATGTGCGCGATGACCCTCGACAAAGTGGATCAACGGAGGAGTCGAGTGGCAAATGGCGGAATTTCAACGAGCAACCCCCGCTTTTCATCGGACTCAACCCGAGTCGGTAAGCGGCATCGATCTGTTACAAACAAGCAAGATCCGTCTGAAAGTAAAGCTCGGCAAACACACAGGAAAGGTACGAGCGCACACAAACAAAGCACCCGTCAATATAACCTGGACGCCCACACGAAGGGCCCGCTCACATATAGATATCTGACTGTGTGTACAGAGCGAACATGTTTTTTTTAAAGGGTTATTATTCACAAGTTTATTCATTCATCTTTGTCTTCACACACACACTTAATACAGGGTCAGATTAGGGCGAAACAGTCCCAAGCAACCTGGCCTTATTCTGTATCGTCTCTGGAAATGACCTTCTGTGTCATAGCAATTACTCCAGCCACCAGAGGGTTTCTGCCGCGCGCGTGTGTGCGTGTGTGAGTGTGTGTGTAATGATATAAGAAGGTCCTTTGACACCCCTCCCCATCTCTAGGTCATGTGGTCTGCGGAGACTCACTGGAGGTCACCAGGATATGAGCTTCTAATGGGGAACATGGGAGTAGGGAAGGGGTTAGAGAGAGGGCAGATGAGTGAAAAAGTGAGGGGAGAAAAAAGAGCGATCACGCTCCGATTGGATTATGTAATTGACGCAGTCAGGTTTGAACCACATCAGTAGCTTTTTTCGTCTTATTTCATTATATGATTTGACACTTTAAAGGCTAATTTACTCCGTCTCTTGAGGGAGCTTCATGACCCCCAGGCTGGTTAAACTTGTTCAAAACGCCGTCGCGTGATTTTTAGAAAATCGCATGAATGTCAATGAGGAAATTGCTTGTGTTATTGTCTTTGTTCCGGAGGAGGCTCCCGGAGGAATAGGTTTTATATAGCTTTTATTTCTCCGTATTCATACTTGTGTTACAGTAAGTAAGTGTGACACAGAAGTGGAGCAAAGCGTCCAATGAGATTAGAGTCAGTGTCCTTGTTTATGTTAAAAATAAGCTTTTTTTTGCAGGTTGTTTGTGATTTATTGCAGTTTTTCATGTTACTTTGAGTCATGATTTGTATCCGCGTTGATCCCTTTCACATCAAACCATCTTATATAGCAGATTTCCACTCACTTCCACCTCTCCCCTTTATTTGTCTTCTTTCTTTCTCGCGCATAAAAACACACTTCCTCGCTCCCCAAACCCTTTTAGCTGGACACACTCTATATCTGCCACACTTCCACCCTAAAAAAAAATAAATAAATAAATAAAACACCCACTCTAACAGCAAATTCACACATCCTTAGTGGAGCAGCACACATGTTCACACGCATGTCCACGCCTCACACTCCCACACACACACTTAAAAAGCCAGCAAAGCCGCAATAAAACCAACCCAAGCGTTTCTGTTGTGGATCCTAATCCACTTTTCCACTTAGCTAGCTAGTATAACTCTTCCTCACCCCTCCTCTCTTCCTCTCTGTGTCATTCCCTCTTCCTCTCTACATCTCCATCCCTCTCTTTTTCAGCGCAGGAAAACAATACAAGTGCAGGGGGGAAGGGGGGGTGATCTGCGTAAATGCTGACGCAGGTGGAAACTTGCTCCTTGCTTTAAAGACCTTCTCTTTTAAAAGAGGGGGGGAGAAAAAGAAAGGCGCTCATTACTTTTACCGGTGCAATAAAACCCTCAACCGCAAACTGGCAGAGAAGGCCTGAGCGCAAACCTGCGAACACTTAAAGTCCATCAGACTTTGAGAAACACATACCTACTTACCTGTGTGTATGAGGTCAAAGCAAAAGCACTGAGCCATGGGCGGAACCATCGTTTTTCAGGCCTGGGTGGCAAAACCCTCATAAATCCTCAAATGAATCGATTACATTTCTTCTAATCCAAATATTTCAAATACTTTTTGGAGATGGGTGAATAATTCTATTATGATTTTGGACCCTTTAATTTCCACTCTTCTTCAATTCGCACAGTTCGAGCAGCTCCAAGTCACCATGTCTTCAGTTTATGCTCGCAAGAATAGCAAAAAAAAGTAGTTAAAGGTGGGGTAGGCAGGAATCCATGTAAGACGCATCTTGTTTTTGTGATGTATATACAAAAAAGCTTTTAATAACAATCAATAGCTATTAGTTATTGATAACATTTGGGGATATCACAACATCGCTGTGTTCTGTTGTGCCTCTGTCATCAAGATTTTAGATTTTTGAGCAGCCCGCTCTTTCTGACAAAGCCGTTCTCCACCTCCCCCTACCTGATTGGTTGTGAGGCACGCTCCACGACACAAGCAAGAAAACGAAGTAAATACCGGAGACTCTAGCAGAATAACGGGCGCTTGAAAAGGAGGTAGACCGCCCACTCTACTGGCACTTTCTCAGATCCTGCCTCCCACACCTTTAAAGAGGAAGGGTTTTTCAAAAGCTTGGATCGAACCCATTTCGAGGATTTTAATTTCATACCTGGTTCAGCTGCTCCAGGTCATCGTATCCTTCCAAGACTTTGCGGTACTTCCGTTCTCTGTACTTCCTGCGGATGAAGGTGGCACGCTGCTCGGTTGAAGCCCCGGTGAAGATGGCTTCCTCCAAGGGGAGGTTAGCAGCCCAGAAACTATTAGCATGTTTATTCCCAACTTCGAGGAAGAGCTGAAGAGTTCACAAAGAGGAAATATGTTACTCTCTGACCAGATTTTTGACATACTGCGCAGATACACCCAACCAACTATTTCCTCATTCAACACTACTTTTCAAACTCGAAGCAAACTGGTATAAAGAAAAGTTGCTTTTTTATCCTTGTACACTCCTAACTTACCTCTACCAGTGCATTGCTCCAGATACTGCTGTCCAACTTCAAGCTCCGCACTTTAGAAATACTTGGTCCAAGAGAGCGATGCTGCCCTGGTGCACACGGGAAGACAAAGTCAAAGACGTTAGTTCCCTTTCACACACAAACTGAAAATACGATTCAAAATTCCAAACCCCGTTAGGTTTGTTTGTGATCAGATGCATTCACGCATACGGATAGAAAACTCCTCAAAAATACACGACATGTGAACGATGGAGTAAACAATAAACAGGCTGTGACAAGATGGAGAAGCTGAGCGTGACTCGAAGCTCATTCTCTCACTCACAACAGACATATTTAGTCCCTTCAGCACTACTAATTGGAAATGAAAGCACAGAACGAGTGCCATTAATTGCTAATGAATCATGAGTAATTCATTGTGTTTGTGGGTCGGCCTGTTTATTTGGGTGAGCGAGAGGCTTGTGGGGTTGCTTCTGGCCAAAGACGGAGCATACATGCATAATACATCTGGCAGAAACCTGCTGTATGTGTGAATGATAATCACCGTCCTGCGTGTAAAAGCAGATAATTTTAGATTTGGCGTTGATCTCATTGCTGTCATCTGTGTTTAAGTGGAGCAGTTGTGAATGAATATGAGCGGAGACGAGGTGACACAGATCTGCAGAAATCACAATTTGTTACCATGCAGGGAGTTTAAAAAGTAAAAATCATTATGAAAATATTTAATATCTCGAGTGATTTATTTACTCTGGCTTGACTATTAATAGCAACGTTTCATCTTTTTGGTCACGAGTAAAAATACCCGTTAAAGTGAAGTTCCTGAGAAAGCAGAAGATTGCGTGAGAGTAGTTTCAACATCCTGATTTGCAGTGACTTTTAAAATCGACACCAAGAGACACTAACTGACTTGTCTAATTGCTCCCAGAATGCATTCTGGATCTCATATGCCTCGCCATACCCCATTGCAGTCAGACTTAATGAGATCAAATGCTGAACACATTAGAGACACAGTCCTGAAACGAAATCATTTCCTCGGTGGCATTATGCTGTTGTATTTCTTTTGGTGTTTAAGTTCCATTTTACACAGAATTTTGTTTGTGTAAGGGCCTGTGTCCACTGACCGCTTTTTTTTTGTCCTGGCAACCAATATTCTAAATACAAAACCAATGTATTTAGAGTACATGGCTTCTCAAGTACAAAAACATCTCAAGTCTAAGCTTGTTTGTTAGCCAAAAAAGAAAAGCTAACACAACCTGCCAGTGGAAACAAGCCCTTAAAACCAGTAAAGAATCACTTTAATTGTAGTTTTGTCCCTTTAACCCAATGTCTAATGTATTAAGAGCTTCAACTATTTGTTAAAAATGTTTAATTTTTCTAATAATTGGGTGCTGGCAACATGTGTGTAATGTGCATAGGTTAAGAGCCACAATACCTAACTGTAACTTAGCTACAAAGGAAGAGAAAGATTCTGTACTATAACTGACTGTCTAATCAAAAAAAAGTAAAAAAGTAGGGGCCGGGAGTTGAACCCTGTGGAACTCCATGTGGATTGTAATGGGAGTTTGAATATACTCTGTTTTAGAAAATTTGAGGGATCCACTGAAAATTACAACTTTAAAATAAACAAATGAATAAATTTAAAATGATGGTGTAACCTATCGTAACCAATTATGGCACATGGATCCAATAGAGGTCCCTCACGTCAGTATTTTTTCTAATTATTGTGTGTTGGCAACGTGTGTGTAATTTGCATAGGTTAAAAGATGCAATAACAAACTGTAACAAAGCTTCTAAGAAAGAGAAGAAATCTGTAATATAACTGATCGTCTAATAAAAAAATAACAGGGGCCCAGAGTTGAACCCTGTGGAACACCATGTATATCATAATGGGAGTTTGAATATAAAGTATAGCAGCGCCGACATTAGCACGGGGGGCGTGGTGCGTAACATGCCAGTGCAGCCATTCTGACAGACATAACACTAATCGCTTTGAAATGAATGAAATTGGGATGACCTTAGTTTTTAAAAAAACAACTATAAATTAACTGACTACACAGTAACGGAGAACCGAATGGAGAGAGCAAAACTTGGACTCAACATACCGTACAGGGACAAGCTGAACAATGAAGAGAGAGAGCGTTGCCTAAGCAAAATTGCGGACATTGTTGGACTCGACCCATATGAACACACTGTATGGTCAGAAGTTGGTTTCGAGATGCCAACTTTCATCGAGCAACGTTTGCAATTTTGCTTAGGTAACGCTCTCTCTCTTCATTGTTCGGCTTGTCCCTGTACAGTATGTTGAGTCCAAGTTTTGCTCTCTCCATTCTGTTCTCCATTACTGTGTAATCAGCTAATAAATAGTTGGTTTTTAAAATCTGATTGCAGGCCGACAGGTATTAATCAGTACAACGAAGAATGCTGGTGATTAGCTGCTTGCAAAATTTGACTAAATTTCACAAAAAACAACAACAAAAAGGTGAAGTAAAAATCAATTTCTTTCAAGGGAAGGATTTTTCTCTCTCCAAATTTTACAGTCAGTATTTGTGGAGGGATCCAAAAGTCAGCTGTCAAATAAAGATGCATCAGTGTGGTCAGACTCCTGGTAAAATCTGGCTCGTCTATTTTCACATGTAAAACTTAAAAGCAGGAATGATTTTCATCTCTGAGACCACTCAAGTTCAGCTTGACATATAAAGGCCTGGAAGCAAGGTTATTGCCTTTGCTTGTGTGGCGGTGGAAATATTTTACTCTTGGCGCCTGCTGCATTTCTACCACCACGCTCCATCAGCTGAGCCATACCAACACCACAGGACCATTTTCACTCGTGTAAGGGTAATGAAGCTGAAAGAAGTGTGCCTGCACACGTGCCACTGGGTACATGGTGAGATCTTCCCCCATAATAGCTTGTTGTAAATGTCTTCATCTCTCCAATGGAACCAAAACAACACGCAAAAGGGCATTCCCATCACAGCAGCTCTCATGAAAAAAATCGCCCGCCCCAACGAGGATTTCAGACCCAATTAAAAACTTTTCCAGCGACAGTTCACCGAGCCCTTTCTCAACCCCTCTCTACTCGTGTGCCATTTCCCCCCTCACTCAATGACAAGTCTGAAGAAAACAAAGCCGAGCAATGAGCCCTGCATCTGTGTGTTGCTATGGCGACTGTTGCCAGCAGATGAAGTCTACAAGTTGCATTCTGGTTTAAAGGAGTTCATTTCAATTACATGAGTGGAGATGGTCCTCCAGATCATGATAGAGATTTCATTTCCTCCCATTGTCTGAGTTGTGTACTGGGAGAAAGGGCGAAGCGATGGCGCATTCAGAGCAGAAATAAGGACGGCATCTTCTACCACATGAAGCATCACCTCTTAAGGGCTTTAATTTTGAGTCAGTTATCAGAAACAACAACTGGTATATGGGAAAGAAAACGAGCAATACGAGATGTCTTTGAACCTGGGCTTAAATGAAAATCATGATGAAAATTCAAACTATGGGAAAAATGCCTTTTAGCTAGTTAGCAGCCTGTTTGCCAAGCTAGCACACTGTTAAATGATTGGGGGCGGGACTTCTCTGGAACTACATTTGTGGAACTTTCCACTGATTATCAGGACACATGGAGCAAATGGAGCATTGTAAAATTAGACTGATATTTCGAAGACCCTGAGACAATTTCTTTAACTTTGCAATGGTAAGCAACCGGGGAGAAGCGCTCTGAAGTTAAAGTGGCAGTCAGTGGACATAGGCCCTAACGATTCAAAAGCAGCAGGTAAAAGTGGGTAAAACAAGTTTTTAAAAACACCTGAACAAATTTCGAAATGGTAGAAAATTGAGTGATGATGTGAGGCTTGTTTTCCTAACCGAGTCTTTACCAAGGAGACTATCAGGAAAGTTGCACATTTAAGACACTGAGCATCTTAAATGAGCTAATACGGGCTAGACTGCACCTTATTGAGCATTAAATCATCAGAGTGGTTGTTCGGAAAATCCAGCTTAAAACAGAAGCATAGCCTTACCATTTAGGAAGCTGACTAGCTTGTAATGTTAGGAGCTACAGAGTATTTTACAATTTTACACAGACAGTGAACATGGATCTGTGTATTATCCGTCCATTCAATTATTTAAATCAATTAAGTAAACGAAAAACAAAAAAACGAGTCAATATCTCGTTTATTTGTTTTGCTGTTTAACCAAAAAATACAAAAATATTGCTTGTTTTCGTATTTTCAGCTCAAAACAGAATATATAATAGAGAAGGAAACGACAACGAAATGATAAATCTTATTTACAATTATTGATTTTGAGTGCGCCTGTTTTGAGCATACGTGCAAGCAGGCTACACTGGCCTTCCCATGATCCTCAGTGACAGTTACCATGGTGAAAGATGCGACAATCTTACGTTGTAACAGAGCTCTGGTTGTAATTTTTTCTACAGTCATATCTTCCTCCTTCAGCGTGACCCTCCTGGCGGCTTTGAATAATACGCAGGATGCGTCCATCTCCATGACAACAGGTTAGCCTTTCTCTACCGCTCTGACCTGGAGTTTCTGTTCCACGTTGTTGGCTACTTTGTTGCGCAATGTGCGAACAGTAGAAAGGCTTTCCGAAAACAAAAAGTAGATTCATTATTTTGTTTTCATTTTCATCTCTATTATTTATTCTGTTTTGAACTGAAAATACAAAAAACAAACACTAATCTTTTATCTTTTGGTTATATAGAAAAACAAACAAAATATTGAATCGTTTTTTTTATTTTTGTTTACTAGATTGAATGGAATAATAAATGGACGGATAATACACAGACCAACATGCTTTCCATTCCTCCAAGTTTTTATATGCGTCTTCATTTTGTGAAAAGCCGAAAACACAAATGAATTTTTTGCTTTTGAAAATCATTTGAAAACAAACCCAGTTATATGCAGTTGATTAGTTGTTCTTTCATGTTAGCTACTTTCAGACCTTAGAGGAGTCCTCCAGCGCTGAGCAAACAAAGAAAAACTATTAATAGTCTATAGCTTCACATCAGAGAAGGAAGCTGCGGACTATTAAAATTCATTCAGTCTTGGCACGGAAAGAGGAAAAGCCAATGTGGGATCATTTTCACCATTAGCCTTCTCATTACTTCTTTCCTCTTCTTCTTGTTCAGCATTTCTCTTTATTGTCCATGACACGAGAGCGCTAATTAAAAGTGTGAGCAGTCATTGGTATTCCAAACGGACCACCACCTAATTTAAGGAGAGCACAGTGTGAGGACAGCTTCTTGGTTGCGAGATATTCACCCTCTCTTTCCCAGCATGCTGACGAAATGTAATATTAAACAGCCCTGCAAATGAAATCATTTAAGGCTGTTTGAAAAGGGATGTTGGATATCTGATGCGCACCAATTACATGGGCTTTGCAGAGGTGAGGGGAAGAATCGCATTAAAAGTTATGACTCTGGGAGGAATCTCAGGGCTGGAGAAGATCCAGAGGGAGAAAAAAGGGAAAGGAAAAAAAAAACACACCATCGAGATCTCCCCTCAAGATCAAGCATGGCCGCTGCCTCCCTCTAATCATGTTTAGCGGGTCAAGAAGCAGTTTGGGATCCCCCAAGTTCTCGCCCGCGGCTTAATCTCTGTTGTCATTTCATCTGAGCCGTCCAGCATTGCAAAATAGATTAGAGAGACCAGAGGCCAGGCGCTATCACCTGAGAGCTTCCTCTGGATGAGCCTCAGGGTCAGAGTGCACGCTCACAGACACACAAACACACAAACACACAAACACAACACCAAACCAAACCGCACACACACTGATTACCGGAGCAGCCTCTTTATCCACGTTCTGAATGTCATTCACAACTTTTAATAAGCAGCTTTATCTCTCATTTATTTCTGCTTTTGTTTCTTTAACTTTAGAAAAGGCAAGGTTTGAAAAATTGGACAAATACGAGAAAAAAGATGGATTGTTTAGGAGTGAGAAACAAATCAAGCTGGTTTTGAAAAAGTCTGTTTAAAGGCTGCAATTTCTTTCAACATCTTCAAAGGATATTCCGGCGTAAAATTCATTTAAGGTCAAACACACCGTAACACCAAGTTAGACACCCCCTTGACAGATGAATGTTGCTGACTGCTTGCTTATCTAGTCATAACAACTTTAGTAACGACCGCACCATAGCAATACACAGCAATCTGAGGAGCCATAAACAAAACTCAACCAAAAAGCCACAAATAATGCTCAGAACAGCACCTAACTTCATCAACAGTACATATTGGGTCTCAGCCTTAGTACTAGCCACCAAACATCTTTTTAACTTTGCCTGATTTCTTCAACAAAGAGACTAAACACAACTCACCTACTCTCTTCCAGCAGCCGCTTGTTTGTAGCTCAAGGAAGAACATTTATGATCATTTCTTTGTAGAACTGCAATCAGACCGAGACGCTAAGGAAGAAGAATGACCGTGTCTGCAGAGCAAAATAATTAATATGGTGATTATCACTACAAGGAAATGATAAAGTAATGATCATAGATGTTCTTCCTTGAGCTGCGTCACCCCGCAGCAGTCCGTAATGGATTGACCCGAGGTCTCGCTACAAGAGTAGGTGAGTTGTGTTTCGTCTCTTTGCTAAAGAAATTAGGCAAAGTTAAAAAGATGTTTGGTGGCTAGTACTATGGCTAGGACCCTATATGTACTGTTGATGAAGTTAGGTGCTGTTCTGAGCATTATTTGTGGCTATAGAGTGGCGTTTTGGTTGAGGTTTGTTTATGGCTCCTCAGACCGCTGTGTATTGCTATCGTGCGGTCGTTTCCAAAGTTAGTATAACTAGAGAAGCAAGCGGTCGGCAACATTCATCTCTCGGGTGGGATGTCTGACTCAATGTTATGGTGTGTTTAACCCTAAATTAATTTTACGCTGGAATATCCCTTTAAGCTGAAGGGAACGGGCTGAAGAAACGATCTCACTACAACATGCACAATAAACACAAACAAAAAAACATAGACAATATTGACAAAAAGTTTCTTAATTGCATTGCTTTGGTAAGAAAATGACATGATACAAAAGCAGCTGCACTTAAACACCACTGAAGAAAATGTAACTTCTCTTTCATTGTTAATAACCTAGAAACAAGACAAATCAGCTGTGTGACCATTTCTACTGCTGAGTCCACAATGTGCAGATTCCGTGCAGATGTGTAGCTCTTTTAAGTACCAACTGTTTTCTCCTGCCAGTTAAGTGGTTTCCCACCAAGTGAGCGTATAAATGTGTATGAATCTGAGACCCTTACCTGCACACTTCTTACAGATGACCACGCCCA